TTTTGATCTTGTTGCTTGGTTGCCTTGGTTTTCTTAGTCGTAATCACTTAGCTCGAGTAGGGTTGAATATATCCTTAGTTTAATTACGGTCGCGGGTCAAAAGGTATTAGTTCGATCGAGGTCGAAACAAAACCTAAGTTTGATTATGGCCGAGGGCCAGTAGATGTCAGTTTGAATGAGGTCGAACATATTGTATGTTTAGTTATGGCCGAAGGCCGATTAGGTATTGATTCGAACTAGGTCGAATATAACCTATACTCAGTTATGGTCAAAGGCCGGTTAGGTGTTGATTCAAACGAGGTCGAATGTAATCTATACTCAGTTATGGCCGGGGGTCGGTTAGGTATTCCCCTAGGTGCGGCATTTGTCGGCGTTGTGATCTTTAAGGCAACGTTGCCTTGGTTGTACATTTGGAGAAATAGAAATAAACTTCATGCATTTGTGCTTTGTTCATACACTTGGATAAATTTATATATTTTTTCGGGCGTTGGCTGGCATTTCAGTCCTAGTCCCTCCCAGTTAAGGCTGTCCAACGGGACGGGCCGTCCCGTTCCGGTCCCGTTCCGCGTCCCGTCCCGTCCCACTTAATTCTAAACGGGATGGGCCCATGTTAAACGGGAAACGGGATGGGACGGGATGTCCATTTCATCCCGTTTGTCCCGTCCCGTTTCGTCCCATCCCGTCCCGTCCCGTCTGTCCCGTCTCATTCCGTCCAGTCCTGTCCCGTCCCGTCCCGTCCTGCCTGTCCCGCGTCCTATTTTTTTTTGTGCATTATATACAAGAAACTTGTAATCCTGCTTTTCAAAGTTTTTCTAAGACCACGGTTAGAAATGATGTTTTTAAACTTCAAACCGAATATTTTCAGTATATTCGTTGTGTATTGTTTCACGTAGATTGTAAAGTGTCTATTACATCTGATATAGGTCATAATCCTAATGGTTGTGATTATTTAACTGTTACATGTCATTGGTTTGATCATCACTGGAACATGCAAAAACGTATTATTGGTTATAAATTTGTTGATTCAAAACACAGTGGAGCATATATTGCAAGTACTGTTCTACAAATTGTTGATTTTTATGGACTCATTGATAAAGTTTTAACTATCACCTTAGATAATGCTTCTGCTAAGTGCTAACACAACTGCAGCAACTAGCTTAATGAAATGATTGCAAAATCAATCCAACTTATGCACCGACCATTAATGAAATAATTGCAAAATTTAAAAAGTATTTTTTTCCTATTCCCCAAGTTTATTTAATTTCTACTATACTTAACCCATCTTTAAAATTAAGAGGTGTAAATGGACTTTTTCGTAAAATTTATGAGAATTTAGAAATTCAAGAAAATGAACAACCATCTCTCGAAGATTGCCAAGCTAACACATATTTTTATGTTAGATCAATGTTTGATAAATATAAATCTATGGAAACAACAAGTGATGAAACTAGGGAAGAAGAAGAATACAACGAGATACTTAGCACCGGGAGCTATGACGGCATGGAACTCATGAAACATCAATCAACATTGCCAATTCCAGAACAATGTCCGAGAGAAATTATAGATAAGTTACAACGAAGTTATATAGGAGCTACAAATATTAGTATGATAATTTGTAATTGGCTACTAAGAGGCCTAGTTTAAACAGAACCTTTCCTAGAAGGTGGCTGCGTAGATTAGGTACTCTTCAAAAGAATTATATTTGTATGTGAGATTTGAAAGTTCTATTAATAAAATAAAAGGCTTTAAGCGTTGAATTATTTTTATGAATTGTCTTACACTCTTACTTAGTTACTTAATGGCTTGAAATTATATTAATTAAATTATAACTCTATTATAAATTTATAATTACTAGAATATTTCATTACAAGTTTTTTGTTTTAATATTTTATCATTCTTTACTTAGTTTCCTAATTTCTGCTTAATTTTTAAGTTTATTAAATAACTCAAAAAACTAGCTGTTGTAAACTTTAAAAACTTAGTCATTGTCAAAAGAATAGCGGTTTCCAAACTCAATGCTTAAATAAATTTTTTTTAAAAATGGCACTTAAGGCCCGCGAACCCGTCCCGTCTCGTCCCGTTTGTTAGCGGGACGCGATGGGCCTACCGTCCCGTCCCGTTTGTTAGCGGAACGGGATGGGCCTACCGTTTCGTCCCGTTCCGTCCCGGCTAAATGTCGTCCCGTCCCATCCCGTCCCGTTGGACAGCCATAGTCCCAGTCCTAGTCTATCCAGTACCTTCATTGGTCGATCTGGAGAAGTATTCAGAGGTCGAGCAATGAAGTAGCCGACCTGTGCGCACTTCAACCTAAAGTATCCCTTTCGTCGCCTCATTAAAAACCTCCTTGAGAAAATCTAATTGGGACAAAACTCAAGTGAGGGAAAAATAGTACGATTTTGAAGACGCTTTATCTCTTAAAATATGAAGTACTTGAGATGTGAAATGTTCTAATTGTTTGGTAGTAGCTTTCCTTCCATTGTTTTTAGTTGGAATGACCATTTGTTCGCTTTTGCCGTGATTTTGTACGGGCCGTCCCAATTTATTCCTAGTTTACGTTCTCGTGGGTTTTTGCTCTCTTGTGTTTTAGCTTTAAGCACGTAGTCCCCGACTTTAAGTGGCATGATCTTTACCTTTTTGTTATAATAGCGTTCTGCTTGCTGCTTTTGGGCGATCATCCTTACATAGGCCATATCTCTTCGTTCTTCGACCTCATCGAGCTCATGCCTTCTGCTTTCATCGTTACTGGGTCCTCTTTCGTGGGAGTATATTAGGTTGGGCTCCATGACTTCGATCGATATTACTGCATCAGTCCCATAGAACAATGAGTAGGGTGTATCTCCTATGCTCGTCTTCGGCGTTGTTCGGTAGGCTTAGAGTACTTCTCGTAATATTTTCGGCCACAATCCTTTGGCGTCTTCGAGTTTCTTCTTCATGATGTTCAATATCGACTTGTTGGAGGATTCCGCTTTTCCGTTGCCCGCGGGGTGGTATGGCGTTGAGAGTATTCTTTTGATGTGCCATTTTTTTAAAAACTCAGTGACCCTTTTTCCCGCAAATTGGGGTGTGTTGTCGCAGCTGATCTCTTTGGGGAGACCGAAACGGCATATGATGTTTTTCCATATGAAAGCGATCACTTCCTGTTCGCGTATTTGGGCAAATGCTCCTACTTCTATCCATTTAGAGATATTGTCAGTTAAAACTAAAAGAAATCGTACGTTACCTCGTCCTGACGGGAGGGGGCCCACGATGTCCGATCTCCATTTGATGAACAGCCAAGGGGAAGTCACTGAGTGTAGGTGTTTGCATGTTTGGTGAATCATTGGGGCATACTTCTGGCATTGCTCGCATTTTTTCACGAAATCCGCGACCTCCTTTTTCATATGGGCCAGTAATACCGTGCCTGTATGAGGCATCTGACAAAAGCCCGATTGCTGGAATGAGCTCCACAGTGACCTTCGTGTACTTTCGGCTAAAACTATTATATTTATGCAATAACGAGTTAAACCTAGTTAATGATAATATCTCCAGATGCGAATCTTGAAAACGTGTGTGAGGTGGGATAGATCCAGTAAAAGGTTGACAATAACAAACATTAAATAATCATAAAGTATAAGCAGTAATGGAAGAGTGGCTAATAATAATTAACAATAAATGGCATTTGAGTAAATTGGAGGAGTGCTTTACCCAACAAATAATGAGCTAGGTGATTATTCCTCCTGACAATGATGAGTGACAGACGAATCTTAGAACATTCGAAATCTTCTCGGATCTGATGAAAAAGTGTAGGATAACATGAACAAGAATCTTGATAAAAAGATATTTTTTGTATCTTTTCAAAAGGGAGAGAGAGAGTATCTTTTTGCAAAGTCCTCTTATCATAATGAATATCACATGCCCCTATTAATTATCTTTTTCTTATTTATATGGGACATACCCCAATAAACCCTAGTAGTACAAATACAAAGAATATCCAATGGAATATTTTCTTTAATATTCTGTCCTAATAAAGTAGCCATTACAGCTCTTTTTACAGTGCTCGACACCGGCCATCTTCTATATTTCGACCACGGGTTTCGCCATCTCCTGGTCGACCTCGGCCAACTCTTTTCTCGATACTGCTTAATCCCAAGTACTGAGACATATTTCGACCCATATAGAACCTAATGACAATCTTTACTCTCGCATTACCCGTTGATTTGACTTGACTTGACCTTTTTTCATTTTGCACGCACCATATATTTTATTTTCTTATTCGTATTTTTTTTCTATTTTGCTCTCATGGAATTCAACAGAAAAGTGTATTTATTATTTTGCAACATAATAAAGAATTAAAAATATAAATTTATTAAAAATAATATAATACAGTACAAATTACAAATGAAAGCATACATCAAGGTACGAAATGCAAAGAACTCTTGGTTGGAAAGGTACTGCCGGGGCAAACCAAAAGTGTAAAATAAGGAGTGGATGATAATTATATCCGTCAACATCTTCAAATTTTGGTTTGCTAATACTTTAATATAGCTGCTGTAAGCTAAAGAACGTTTTTATTACTCTTCTTGCTTTCTCAAAACCGGACAGCACTCATTCAAACAAGTTGTTTTTTTTTAATCAAGTACTAACATATCCAAATTGATTTGTATTCAATAAAAGAAAGATATAAAGCGAAAAGTTAAAAATTGTAGTCATTATGGACCGGTCCATGCATTAATAGCCGTTGGATGTAGATGAATGTGGCGGCTTCAACATCTGCTGTTCATATTTCATAGCATGCCTTAGTGGAATATTCAAGCTCCATAGTCACACTTCCATTATTATTGTTGTTGACCAGATATGCTCCATTATATTATTAGGATTTTGATTTTTGCATGAGAAGTCAAAGTCGAATTTTTTTCAACTTTCCACAGTTGTAAGTTTAAAATACCTCAACTAATAATACGAATTAATAACTCTCTTAGCCAGCCCAACCTATATAACTACGTAACATATCCTTTGTTTTCTTCACCTTTCAATCTCTAATTTAATCTCTTTGCTTGCTTCATTTTAAAATCTAGCTAGTTCAAGAAATTTGGGAGCTGTTTTATTTTTTGTAACTTGTACTAATTAAGTAAAGCCATGTTTAGAGCAATGAGTACACGAAGAGGCTATAGAGGATATGAAGAATTGATTAAGGAAGAGGAGGTTTCTGCTCCAATATTAGGGAAACCAAAGTTGAGCAGAAACAGAACGGTTCCAGCTACTGCTAAATTCTTTAGCTCTTCATCCAAGAAGGTGACGTCCGAGGATAATTTCCGAGCGACTAGTCAACTAAAGAAAGCGAAAAAAGCGAGCAAGATTCACCCAATATTCAGTCTTTTTGAAACCAAGAAGAAAAACAAGGCAACTGCAAAGCCTGAATTCTCAAGGTACATTCAATATGTTAGAGAAGGAGGTTTTGGAGATGTATTGCAGACGACTTCCTTCAAATCCTAAATTCTCGATTTACAATTTTATTTTAGTTAGTACTATGTGGTTTTGTATATATACGTCATAGATTATATAGGAATGTTGGTTTGTTTGCTCTATTTCTTCTTACTTCTCTTTTTGAGAGATTATGGGATATATAGGTGTTGGTTGTTACTATATATAAGTACAAATATATTGTTGTATTGCGTGTTTTTTGGACAAGGTTCAACTTGTTGGCACAATAATCCTGCAAATCCGTGATTCTTATTCAAGGTGCGAGTCCTCGCGCGTTTTAGCTGACGACCAGTTGTCTCTCTTTTCCCCAGGAAATTAACAGTCAGAATTAGAACAAGGGATGATAGAATTAAAAATCTGCATTTAAATGTTGTAGCAACAAGATATGAACAAAAACATGACAGTTTGGTCTTGATGGATTTGAAGGTTTTGAGATATCGGCAATTCGGCATTACAAGTCTAATCTTTACAAAATAAATATGCATGCACATTTGCATGATCGCGACCATTTAATATTGCTTGATCTCCTTGCTGCCCAAATGTATGCATGTAGAGTTTAAGCATGCAGTGACAATGTAAAAAATATTTACACAGTATGATCAGTTAGAAAGTAACTATAGGCAACTCTATTTTATAGCATTAGTTATAACATAGAATAAAAAGTAAGTAACATGTTAAATTAAGCTAATCGTGTGCAAATCAATACATCGTCAATATAAGTTAGATCCATGTATTAAAGTATAGGAGTACTCCTTTGTCTATTTACCTTTGACACTTTTTCCTTTTTGTTTTATTGTAAAAAGGGAGAATTACACATAAGTATAACTAACTCACATATATTGCAATTAGGTGGCCTATATTCAACTTTGCAAAATTGCATCCCAAAAATAATAAGCTAAGATTCAACATTCAATTCCAAATAGGTTCTCGAAATCACTATTTATTTTTTTAAAAAAATGTTCAAGCTTCTAATTCAATCTTTGAATCAGTAATTGTGACTCAAATATTAGTTTAACAAGCCAAATCCATTTGGGTGGGTGAAAATTAGATTTTTAAGGTAACCCACAATTGTTGAACAAACTTAAATAAGTGGGTTCAAAATTTCGAATCCGATTTTGTGAGAAATTTAGAGTGGGTATTGTTTAGACTTGTTAGAAATAGTATAAGAAGGTTGTATATAACATTTGAAGTCAATTAATGGAGATTTGGACTAGTTTTGAACAAGAATTGCAACTGAAAATCGTAGAAGAAATTCATCTACAGACGCTTCTATAAAGGTGTATAAAAGTGTATAATAGTGTATAAGAGGTATTTATACACCCATATACATTATTATACAATATTATACACTATTATACAAAAATTAACTTCGTCTTCTTTCTTGAACCTCTTCTGAAATTTAGTTGTACATCACTTCATATTTAATTAAGTTTTGAACTCCTCTTGATGTTTTCAATCAATTGGAGCAAAACTCAATCCAAACAGCTAACAGGCTCTAAAGACCCAGATCTAAAATTTAGCTCAAAGATTAAAGAAGAGAAATTAAAAAACTAAATAGTGAAGAGTCTCAAAAGCCACGAGGCTGCAGAGCAAAAATATTCTTAGTTTTTGCAGTAAGTTTTTCTTGTTGTAGCATCAAATGAAATGGAGAATTTGACCAACTAAATTTAACTCCATACCTTTTAGAAGCAGTGGTTGTAAGAAAACGGATTTTAAAATAATGGTTGTCAAATGATGCTTTTGGCAGTACTTTTAAAATATGTACAATATAGGCTAGGTCGGGTAAAACTAAAAAATATGGGCCATTTTTTTGTAATAATATGAAGTCAGGTGTATTTCCTAGTAATTCTTTCTAATATGCCTTTTTATATTTGGAAACTCTTCACCGTTAAGCTTTCCTTTTTATCCTTTGTTTACCCGAAAAACGTATAGAGTTAAATTTGTACGTAGTTCTAAGGGTATGTGGTATAACTTGACACAAATCGTAAGAGTAAAATAGAAATATCGAATATTGATTGCAAAGAAAAATAAGCAAAGTTGAAAAGAAGATGATTTATGGATTAAGCAAGATAAATCAATCAATGTAGCTAAAAAAGGATAACTCTTCAATATAGGAGTGTATGATCTCTCAGTTACCATGTATGTAGAAACTTGGTGCCTACAAAAATAATAACCAACCCCTTTATAATGGAGGGATCTTACTTTAGATACAATTAAAAATACATAGTGGGAGACCCATGATAAATCAGCTTTTTCATAATTCTTGCCATGATTCTCTCCCCTAGTGCGGTTGTAACGGCTCTTGTCTATGAGCTCGATATTTGACTCGAGTTCGATACCGACTCGAGCTTTCGATCTTGACTCAAGCTCGATTCTGATTCGGAGCCTTGTATTGATTCGGAGACAGTGTTGGTCGGTCTCTACCTCGTAAGCTCGATAACTTCATCATAGTTAGATTTGGATTCGAGCTCGATAATGATATCGAGCTCGACATTGATCAGTCCTTAGGGCTCGAAGTTTGATGACCTAATTTCAGATCTCAACCTGATCTTCGATCCAATGCATTACCATTTCGATCAGTTCGTACGAAGGACTAACCTGTTTTGACCGTACACAGATAATCCCCTCGTTTCTTGGTAAGGATGTAGCGAGAAACGACATAATTTTTCAATGGTACGATTAGATATATACTGACGTTTACATCGAGTCCGATCATGATGTACGTGATGGTTGACCCGTCGGTTCAGTTTACCTAGGTATTTAATGTGTTTCAGACGATGGTCGGCCATTATCAAAATTGAACCGCCATTGCTCTATCTATAAATAACCCTTTTTTTTCACTTTTAATCACTTTTACATCTTCAAGCTCTAAAGTTTCTAACTTTTTTCTCACACCTTCTGAATTCATTCGCAAATCTGTGATTCTTCTCTGCAAAATCTTTCTTCAAAAACTCAAAATCTTTGTTACCTCCTTCTGTTCTCGATCTTTAAATCCAAAAATGGCGAAAACATCAAAAACCATTCCTCAGAAAGAAAAAAGCTTCTTCTTCACAGCCTGCCGCCGATAAAACACCGGTAGAGCCACTGCCTGAGGAATGCGTTCCTGGGGCGTGTGTTCTTACCTCTGATTTTAAGGTCGACAAAGGCTCGTCGGTTCCCGGCCGATGTGAGCCAGTATCGAGGTATATGTGTTCGATAACCGAGAGGCACCTCAAACAGCTAAAGAAAGATTGCAATTGGGAGAACGAAGAAATAGTAATCCCGTGTTTTGAAGAAGATATCACCACTTACGTGAAAGGGTTTTTAAGTGTGTATACTTACCCTTCCACGTTAGGTCCCCCTGACCCTGTTATTATAGATTTCTGCCATCAATACCAGATAACCCTAGGCCAGATCCATCTTTCTTTTTGGCGGATCGTTATTTTGATCCGTTACTTCGTGAACAAAATCGAGGGGATGCCTTTCACCCTTGACCATCTCATTCGATTGTACTGCCCTCGCCTCTTTCGAGGCGGGTTAATAAAACTTCAGCGTCGGGCTACCAAGGTTCTTTTCTCGAGCATAGTCGAAGACAAGGATCGAGGTTGGATAGGAAGGTTCGTTCGAGTAAAGACTTCGGACCTAATTCCGACTGAAAAGATGCCTTTTCCCGAGGAGTAGAACATGTAGCGTAAGTGTAATTCTGTTGTTATCTCCTACTATTTTCCCCCTTCATATCTTTTCTCACCGATATCCCTCTTTTTGTGATCCAACGGTTCTTTGGATGCCCGGTGCAGTCCCCGACCTCAAGAACTGGGTACAGGATCTATATTCGACCTCCACATACGCCGAGCGCTCGTGGCATGATTTGTCAAATGGCCGATGGGAGGCCAAAAATCACGGTAATCCTCTTTCTCGTATCTTTGGTAGTTTGAACGGGATGCTTTCCATATATTTAAATCAATTTTCCTGTATGTAGGTGTGGGCAAAGATGCGGTTTTGAGGTCTTCATCCGTCGAGGAAGAGGCTTCGGCCTCTGATCCAAAGTCAGTGAAGGATAATAAGAGAAAAAGGGCCTCCGCTTCCGAAGATCCAAAACCAAAGACGAGGATGGCTCATAAGCCGAGGAAGAATACCAATCCTTTGACTGTAGAATTAGTTCTGCATCTAAGGGATGAAGACGAAGAAGAAGAAGAAAACGACGGGTCCGTGCTGGTGGCCCAAATGAAGAAAACCATCGATGGCCCAAAGGCAGCTGAATCGATGGTGATTTATAAAGCTCCGCTTCAGACTGAGCAGATATTGGAGGAAGGTTCGGGAAGAGTCCCCGAATCATTATAGATTAAGTATACTTCCCACCGAAGTCAACAAACTGTGGGCATATCGGAAGGGGCCGATCATGAAGCTGTCCGAACTGAGGAGAACGTCCCAAGCGAGTCACTTAGGGCAATAGTAATTGGAGACTCGCTCACTCTCCCTGCCTTTTCCGAAGGGGCAATTCGGGAATCCCAAGCTTTGGGGGCCCTCGAGATGAGCCGGTCTCATGAAGGGGAGGACCCCTTCTGTGATTTGTTTACTGGAGTCGAGGACGCTGCTGGCCCTAGTGATGTGTCGGGCCTTTTCTGCGAAGTGCAGCAAGCTCTGAATCGGGTAAGCTTTAACTCTCTTCGTTGATATTAATTTTATATTTGCTATTCTTTTCTAACTTCTTTTCTTCTTTCTTCGCAGGTCATGGAGGTTCATCGAGAAGCATGTTCTCGGTCTTGAGCTGAGCTGCATCCGTTCGAGGCCGACCTACGATGGGTTACGGAGGAGAGGAACGCCCTCAGACTCCTTTCCGGGCAAAGAGAAGAAGAAATCAAAGGCCTTCGAGCTGAGTTGGCCAAGGCTCATCAAGACCAGACCGACCTGACCGAGCAGGTAATGATAATATTAAGAACTCATGGGTTTGATTTAGGATTGGAGGCTAATATTTCGATCTCACAGCTGCAGCAGAAACTCGAGACGGTCGGGCAGCTTCGTGAGGAAGTTGATATAATAAGGGCAGAGACCATGGGAACAGGGGGCCTCGGATACTGTTGAATTATTCTAAGTTAGTCGGATACTGTTGAATCGTTCTAAGTTAGTCGGATACTGTTGAATTATTCTAAGTTAGCACGATCAAAGGTTGACTCATTAAAAACCTTGCCGAAAAACCCATTTGGGATAA